TGCTTCCAGGTGTACTTAAGAAATTTGGCATCTACTTACGTATCTACATGGTATCTACGTGGCATCCACCAGACATTCACGTTACCAACAGTTAATTTCGTTTAAATCATTTGGACGAAAGTCCCAAATTACAATAATTTAAATTATTGGGAACCAAATTGAAAAAAAAAATTAAAGTGAGATTAAATTGAAACAAAAAAATATTATAAGGGACCAAATAAGAATTTTAAATTTTTTTTTAATTTGATCTTTTAAATTTAAAAAAATTCACTTTAATTTTTTAAAATATCTATATTAGATCAAGTAAATCTATCCGTCAATTTATCACACTAATTTAATTAATTGAATAACATGTCAAACTGTGAATATGTCATGTTAGTCAAAATCATTAATGCAAAAAAAATTGACGGAAGGACTCATTCAAATAATAGAGATTTTTTAAGTTATTAAAATTAAAAAAAAAAATTTAATGGACCAAACTAGAACCTAAAATAAAAATGAGGCAACACAATTCTATTTTAGCTTAATATATTTTTTATTCAAAAATGATTGAAGTTTTTATTTTGGTCTTTATTATTATTTTTTTGTTAGCGGTGATTTGGTAAAGTACTTTTAAAATAATATTTTATTTTTTATTTTTTGTTTTTTAATGGTCAATATTTATATTTGTAGTTTTTTTTATTCATTCAAATAAATAAATGATAAAAAAGCGTAGAATTACACAACATTGACATATTTTTTCTTAGTGTTTTTCGAATATCATGACATTACTTGAAATAAATAAATAGGTAAGTAAATAAATTAATCTGAGAAAAATAACAAGTGATGTAGTGTTCAACACATATTCGACAAGAGTATTAATCTCGTACAAATAATAGATAGTAATTATATCATTCTCAACGAGAGTACCTTTAGGTCAATTATCACCAATTAATTTAATGGTACAAGTTGATTTTTTATTCATGCTATCATATATTAATCTCGCTTATGTTGCTATTACTAATTTATAAAAAAAAATTCACGACAAAAATCAAACATAAATTTTATGCTAAATAATATACACGTTTGATTAATCATTGTGCAATTCATATATAGATAAAATAAATAAATAAACAGAATATTTAAGGCTTTATACAATGTGTAAGAATAAGATATAAAGTAAAGAAAAAAAATAATAATTATGTAACTATTTGATCGATTAAGAAGGTTAGGTGTGTTCTTAGAACTTTTATTCAACTAATATTAAATGTCATTAATGATTCTCAATTATCAAACTAACACCCAAGTCTAAATACTTGACTATAATTATCAGTTTTCTTTTGGTAGTTAAATTTTTTCTTTTCTAATGAATCCTTATCTCGTTATATATAATTAATTAGGAACAAGTTTTATGTCCAATAGTAAAGATTTATGTAGATGAATATACATGCTCTCATCCCCGAGAAACCAAAAATAAAAAATAAAAAAAATACATGATTCCAAATGTAGTTCTCATTCAAATGTCAACTTGTCAATTGAAATTCAAGATATAAGATTATTTACATGATTATTCATTAAAAAAATTGAGCATGCATTAAAATTGGAATAAAATCCACTCGCAAGAGATCAAAATTATACTAAAGAATCCAATACAACTCCATGGAAAATATGATCAAATTCACCAAAGATTGAGTGAAAAAATGAGAGAGGAATCTATGAATAAGTTTCACAATATATTTCCAAAGTTAATTTTGTAGCAATTACTCATATATAATAATATTTTTTTTATCATAGTTTAATGTAAAATGTAAAATAGGAGAATTTTTCAACAATTAAACTCATAAAACACTACACCAATATTTACATAATGAGATATCCAACTTTCAAAAACACCTCTCTCTAATCTTAAGTCAATACCACAACCATGTTTTTCTATATGCACTACCCAAGTTAATGGATATAAATTTAACAACATCAATCGACTTATACATATAAAAGCGCCTCAATAATTCAACCATACAACCATTTATATATATCATCCTAGACCAATATACATAGAATAAATATTACTCATCAACATATAACATGCAATAGGTTCATCTAACATATCTATGATCACCAATTCATAAAGTAAACAACAAGTTATTATAAGGCAATTCGTGCCTGAAGTCATTGAAGTAGGGAGCCCTCTACCTTGTTCACGTCCAACACCATTCAACCCACATCTAGTATGGATGAGGTAGTGACCCCTAGGCCTTCATGCCTAGTTGCGGAAAGTCCCACACTCAATCCCATTCTAGGTAAAGACGAATCTTTTTCCTCATGCTCTATGCCACTTCTTAGGTGCCTAATGTCAATCCAGACAAAGTTAATTATCTTACCTTACACTTGACCCCATTCAAACCATATTTGACACCATTTCAACTCGAGGCAATTGCTCTCCTCACACCCAATGCCACAAATCCTATGCCTAGCATGGACAAGACAAAAAAACCTCTGATTAAAATCATGCCTAACACCATGAAGGTACGCCTGATGCCATGACGAGTTTTGCACTTGTAAACCCACGAATTTGGTTTAAACCACTGAAAATTAGCAAATCACCAACATGCAAAGCTAGACAACACTTATACATATAATCAACAACTCATTTTGCACTCAAATAGAAAAATGCAACAATAATCCTCCAAATAACCAAGTTTTCTCCTTAAAAGCCAAAAGCATAAAGTTCAACCATCAAAATTCATAATCATGAAATTCCACAATATAATTATAGCTATTTAACATCCAAATAATCCACCAACAACCAAGCAATTCAACCAAACCACCCAACAAGAATCATGAATCTAACTTCCCTTACCTTTAAGTCGAAGTGAGCCAAGAAAAAGGAAGAAGAAAGGAACACCTCCAAGCTATCACCTAAGCTTCGCTCTAACACTACCTTGATTCTCAACTTCCAGGCTTCGAATCAACAATCCAATGATGAATATTATATACTCGGGGAACCTATAAATAAAAAGAATGAATTAGAATCTCAAACCTCCTCTCTCTAGCTTATCTGTCTAAGATTTTCTTAAGAATTGAACTTATAAAACTCAATTATTAAAAGAAACATTATATATTTCTCCCCTAAAGGTCAAACTGGACATTTACCTAAAGAAACTCTCTAAAACATCTAATGATTTCTCAAAAATTTCTTAATCCCTAGAGTCTCTCAACATCACACCTCTGAATATCACAACTTATAATTATTATTAAAGAGACAATAATTCATAAAAAATGTACAATGTTACAGCAAACAACTATATTGTACGATAACATTTTTAAGATTTTTTAATTTTTTATTTATCCTAATTTAAATAAATTATCAATAATTAAAAATATTTTGTATCATAATATAGTTTATTTATCTTAGTTATAAAATATTATTTATTTATTTAAAAATATTTATTTACACAAAATTTTATATATAATTTATATATTTAAATAAAATATTTATTTAAATATATAATTATTAAAATAATTTGTTATATATAATAATAATTTAACTTGAAAAAATGTATAAATTAAAATATTAGTATAATAATGTATATTTAAGAACAAATATAAATAACTTTACGATAGCTAATAATAATGAGTGGGTAAGCGCAGACACAGAAACCTTTATTTGTTCTCGTTCCGTTATATAAAAATATTCATTTAAATTATTCATAGGTATCTATTTTACTATCATCTATCTATTATATATATTGTGAATATTTATGGACACCAATATTTTTATCATTCCTATCTATAATTTATCCCATTCATTCATGTAAAATCCAATTCAATCCATCTAGTTATTAAAAAAAAAAAAACTTAGATGAATTTGGTTGAATCATATAATTAAATAGGTAACAGTCTATCCATCTTATTTTCAAATAATTTGATGGATAATTTAATTAATACTTTACGGATTAAAAGTAATTCAACATAATTTTTCTTCATATTTGATTTTTTTTAAAAGTAATCAAAATGTTTAGAATTTTTTCTAATATATTTATTTTATTATTTATTTGAAATAATTAAAATTTTTAAAAATAACTATTTATTTTAAAACTTATTTTGAAAATTTAATAAAATGAATAATCATTTCTTCAAAGACAAAATAAAAAAAGTTATAAAAAAATATTTTTATAAAACAGAAGAATATTTAGAAATAATTAAATATAAATATATATTCTTGAAAAAGATTATCAATGGATAAATTATCTATGCGTAACAAAAATGTTATTTAATGAGGATATTCATATAAATACCCACAAGTACGAGATTATTTATCATCTATATTTATATCATATAAATAGTAATTATAATTCTAAAACCAATTCACATTTAATAATATCAAAATTAATGAATTATATATTTTTAAAAGATACAAAATAAGAACTATTATATTATATAAGATTATTCAATGTTTTACTAAATTTAATGTAAGCGATAAAATTAACATATAATTATGATTTTTTATACATATTTTTTATCCATAACAAATATTGTTTTTTTCATCAAGTATTCTCCGTCGAATAGTGAGAATAATCTCTTCGAAAGTTTAATTATCCATAACACATATAATGCATAAACATTATGTTTTAAATCAATGTTAATAGATTTTCAACAATCAAGAGTTTCCAACCTCTCGTTGAGTAGAACATTGACCGCCCAATTTTATTGAAAAAATGAGACGAAATTTATAGAGTAGTGTTCTTCAATACTACGATATTCTAATGCATATCCACAAGAACAAAAATAATATATAAGTTGATCAAAATACAGAAATACATTAGGTCGAAGGAGGGAGAATAAGCCACCCACAGTCTCCACAATAAATAAATAAATATTATGTAAATGATACAATTAACCAACGCCCCACAAATTTCACATATGATATTCGTGCACACTCATGTACACGTCCTCTTTTAATCACCAATTCTTTTCCAAGTTCCAAAATTAGTAGAATGGACCCCAATGAAATTTCACTTTATACCCTTTTGCTCAAGCTCCTACCACAAGTGTCCTTCTTAAAAGCCAAAACTCATGAATGTGTCACAAGTCACAACTCCTTCCTTAATCCAAACACACACAAAAGACAACAACATGGAAACACCTTCACTTTCTCCTTCATTTCCTCTTTTGCTCTATCACCTCCTCCTCTACAACTAAACCATCACAAGATTCACAACAACCTCTTTTCACTATACTCTCCCATCTATACAATTCTATATTTTGTTCCTACTCAAGACTGTTGACATCGTTAGAATCACTACAACAATTCTTTTTTATCAAATTGTGCAATCTTTACAATTCTGGATCCTGTTCCGATCTTAAGTCTGCTGATATCGTTAGGGTCACCGAATTCTATTAATTCATGGGGGCTGGTGTTTCTACAACTGCAGCAGAAAATGATGATGGAAGCACTTTTTCTGTGTTCTCAGATACAGGCCTTGATGATGTCCCTGAGAATTGCATATCTTCATTGATGATGAGTTTTGATCCACAAGAGATTTGCACATTGGCCAGAGTGAACAAAACTTTCCATAGAGCTTCATCTGCTGACTTTGTTTGGGAATCGAAGTTGCCACCAAGCTACAAATTTCTTGTCAATAAAGTAGTTGGTGAACAAAATCTTGGTTCCATGACCAAGAAAGAGATCTATGCCAAACTATGCAGACCCAATTTCTTTGATGGTGGAACCAAAGTAAGTCTTATCACTCATTAATCTTCTTAATTGCCTAGTGGATCGGGTCTTCATTTTCATTTTCTTTTTTTCATTTTTCTTTCTTCATTTCATTGACAAGTTTGATTTGTTGTTTTGGTGATTATAGGAAGTTTGGCTAGACAGATGCAGTGGACAAGTATGTTTGTTCATTTCATCAAAATCCTTCAAGATTACAGGAATAGATGATAGAAGATATTGGAATTATATTCCAACTGAGGAATCCAGGTGAGAGAGGTGCAGATATTTTTATTTTTATTTTTTTACCAAAAATAATTTATGGTGGAGGTGCAAATATTGTTTATTTTTATGAATTTTCTTCTTCTTTTTTTTAAATTGAAATTGAATTTTTACCACAGCAACTTGAATAGACGCAATTAAGGTTATAAAGTCCTTCTGATTAAAGTTGAATAATAGGTTCCCTTGTGTTCACAGAATTTGAATAAAACAGATCTTTCTTTTTAAGGTATATGATAAAGAGAAAACAGATCATTATTTTATCGTGTATTTCTTGGATTATTATATAATTTATTTTCTTTTGGCTTCTTGTTGCAATCAACAATTAATATTGTTTTCATCATCGATGAGGTAAATACATTAAAAAAAATTAACTTTTTCGGTAAAAGTCATTTTCGAACAACTCCAAAGCCAACAAATGGAAGCCAAAGTCGTTTTCTTGCCGTATATATATAT